ATCCGCTCCTAAGGGGGGGGTGTCCGGCCGCTGATTGGCTGCAGGGCAGCCCTGTGCAGCTGCTGATTGGCTACTGGATAGACGCGCGCCTCAGGGTGCCCGCCGACTCCCTGACGGCGTGGGTTGCCTCACACCGCCTTGCCGTGGCTGACGACTGGGCGCACGGCAACTCGAGGGCTCAGGCCTGGCCTGTGTGCATCCCTGGCAACCATCGGGGACAAGACCTTCACTGGAACTACCCAGACCGGGTTTCCGGGAAAGCAGGACTCCGCCGTCGGTCCGGCCGTCGGTCCGGCAGTCTGTGTACCCGGCAGCCGTGAGGCAGCCACAGGCGGGGGAGGCCGCGGGCTGGGCTCAGGCCTGTGAGGCCCCCGCCGACTACTCGCTGGTCAAAGGCCAGTTCTGGATCAGTGGAGGGCAAGAGTGCGAGCTAGGCGACCCCTTCACCACGATCCCGTGCTCGTGTGTGTCAGCCTGTCACCACATCAGTCACCTGGCCAGCTGTCATCTGTGCGGCCTGTGCCGGTAAGGCCACCAAGCAGTGTGTCAGTCTGTCAGCTAGTGATCAGGTTAGTGCCCTTATGAGTCAGCAGTTAGTCCCTTGCGTCATTAGCCAGGTACTCAGGTAGTCCGCTCCCTTCCTCCCTGCCCAGGGCTAAGTCAGCCTCTGAGTGAGTGGACCCCCCAGGGGCCCGCAGTGCTTAGTCATGCAGCTCTCTCACAGGCAAGCTGGCTGCTCAGTTCCACTGTGAGGTGCTGGTTTCCCTAGAAACCCAGTTTCCCCTGAGCATGAGTAGCTCCCATCCTGAGGTGCATCACTGGTGTGCCCTGTATCCCGCCCCTCAGTCATGGTCTTCAACCTGTTCACTTCAGGGCCCCAGGAATTCCAAGTCTGAGCCTCTCCTCCAGGTCTCCTCCTTCTGCTCTTCCTCCTGCTCCTCCTGCTCTTCCTCTTTTGGAGAGGGGGTGGTGCCCGAGCCTCCTGTTGAACTCTGCAGCCAACATCACTCGCTACTGTCCCATGCAGGGGACTCTGGTTCCCTCCTGCCCGGGCTTTCACCATCATACAGGCCCCCAGGAAGGCACCTCAGGAGCATCCTTGAGGAGCATGGAGTCTGGACAGGAGGAGCTGGAGTATCCAAAGGGATGTTCTGTCAGGGCTAGGATGGGCCTGGGAGCATGGGAAGAAACTTCCAGAAGCCCCGAGAGGCTCCCAGTGTGTCTTGTGAGTTCACTCAGACCCTGGGATCCTCAGACCACGACCAAGGGGAGGAGTTACAGGGACAGAAGCCACTTAGTGGTACATCTGGGCCTTCTGTGACCCCAGAGTCTGCCCTTCTTTGTCCTTTGCTTTTCTACTCCACAATCCTCTCAAGTGTGTCCACTTCCCTTTTTTCTTGGCAAGGCTTCATTCCTGTCTTCCCTAAGGCCCAGAGATGTTCCCACTTTCCTGAGAAAGTTAGAGGGCCCTGTCCATTCCCCAGTTGCTGGTCTGAGTGTGGATGCAACTGCTGCTCCAGGCATAGGTCAGCACCTGAGGTGGAGTAGCCAGCAGAGCCTGCTGGACTGTGGGCAGCAGGGACAGGTTGATGGTGACATCAGTAGGCAGGGGTGGTGGATATTGACAACTATAATGTCACTGAAATGGCAGAAAGTGGCCTACAGTCTCCTACTAGGACACTAGGTCTAGTTGGCCCAAGAACCAGGGCTCCAGTCTTCTCAGGGCAAAGGTCCCAGGGAAGGAGCCATTCTAGGACTCAGAGTTGCCAAGGCCCTATTTGTGTGTCAGCAGTATACATGCATATGTGTCCATAGAAGATATTTGTATATCTGTAGTATGTGTATGTTTGTGTGTTTGTATCTGTGTGTGTCTGTGGTCTCTATGCACGTGCATCTGTGGGAGCACATGTGTATGTTTTTTAAGTGTATGTATTTGTTTATCTGGATCTATAAATGTGTTATAGTTATAATTCTCTATATATCTTTCTTGTTTTGTTTTTCTCCAAATTCTCTATCATCAATCAATATAACATACAGCTCATTATTTTTTTTCCTTAGGTTTTTGCCACAGGGTATGTGTACTTAGGAGAGAGATAGAAACAGTAAGAGGAAAAATGAGAAATCACCTCCCAGGGGGAGGGCCTACATTCTCTTCTTGGTATTTTGGGCACACACACACGTACACAGACACACATACCCAGAGTGATTTTTAAGCCAACGGATCTGGGACTCAAGTTGCTGTTGGCCATGTGGGAGTCTAGTGCCTTAACCACCCACCACTTGCTTGCTCCCATATAACTTATTCTTTGCTTGTCTCCTGCACCATTAAAATGTAAGCTTCATGAAGGTTTTTATATCTTTTCCATTTATTGATGATTCCACACTGCCTAGAGAGATGCTTGGCATATATTAGGTGCTTGATAAATATTTGCTTTAAGAATTATAAGGAAATTTAGAATAAACAAAATAGGAGTACTGAATATCTTTAGTGGATAACTGTGCACTCTTTAGAGCATACTGTTCTGGCATTATCTGATTCTAGTATTTTATTGCCTTTGACTTACTTTGCAATTCCGCCCATTGTAGATAACGATTATCAGTGTAAATTGTTCATGTCTGGAGACAAGTGCATACATTCTGTCAGTTGGAGGTTAACTTGAATCCCCTCACCAAGCTGGTTTCATGTGAACTCACATTTGATTTCATTTCTTCACATCATATACATTTTTGAACAGAGTATAAGCACTAGCCAGACAGAGACAAATAGAGACAGTGAGAGGGAAAGTAAGAAATAACCCACCAGGGGCTATGGCCATACCACAATCCCTTCTTCTCCATTCTCATCCTGGGATTTAGGGCATGCATGCACACATGCCTGGTGTGAATTTCAAGCCACCAGGCCTAGGACTTGGACCACAGTTGTCCATGTAAGAGTCCAGCACCTTAACTGCTATGGTACCTGCTGGCCCCACACACCATATAAATTTGTGCTTCTTTCAGTCTTTGCTTGTCCCTTCATTATAGAGTTATATAAAATCTTTTTTTAAATTGTTGGTTGGTGTGTGCATTCACAAGAGAAACGGAGTGGGAGAAAGCACTCCCCAATGGGTGTGGTCACGCAATCCATTCTCCACTTTTCCGTCCCGTTGGGATATTAAGCACTGTGTTTGACCTGTGGCCAGCCATGTGGGAGCTGGCTCCTTTAATCACTAGGCTTGGCCCAAGTTAAATATAATCTTTAATATGTATTCATTGTATATTTGTATGAAAGTCATTCTTTTACCTCCCCCCCTTTTTTGAAAATAATCCTTTCATGGATCAATGTAGAAATTTGCACGTGCCTCTGTGCATGCACCTGCATTTTGGTTTGTGGTGTGTTCTAGGAACTAGAGACAGCCTCCAGGACCAAAGAAGATGGACCATGGAACACTTTGGGCTCATCTTAAAGATTCTAGCTCTTTCCTTTTGGGCAACTGGTAGCCACTAAAAGAAGCAGAAAAGTGACACCAATGGAGTTTATAGAATTCACTCTGGCCTCTCTGTGGAGATCAGATCGAAGGTGGTGGACAGAGAGCAGGTGAGAAGATAAGTTTTCTTAACTGCAAATTTATGTTTCCCCCTTTGAAAGGTGAGTCTCTGTAGGCAAGGATGTGTATCTCTTGCACCCAGGACTTGTTTCATACATGGTAGATGATAAATGTATGTTGAATGGTAGATAAATCTACATAAAGGTAAATACACAAGTAGCAGAATCTTGCATGAAGTATTGCTTTAATTTTAGGAAAGAAAAAAATATGTACATACTGTTTTCCCTCTCCTTGCATCTGCTCACTCACAGCCCTGAGCCTTGGCGATCAGATGTGACAGGTGAGCAGAAGTCTGTCTGTCTGTCTGTCTGTGAAGGAGCAGGGCCACATCAGCAAAATGCCTCACTGCCGTGCCTGAGTGGGTCAGAGGCAGAGACAGGAGGCAGTGTCACAGCATGCCTTCCCTTCAGGCTGCCATGCCCAGCACCTCCCCGTGTCCTGAAGGAAAAGGAATCCACGTGTTTCTCACCCCTCTGCCTACTTTCTGCCACTTGAGTGACATGTCACTTCTCAATACCCACCATCCCTGCCCACTGGTGTCACCATCCACCTGTCCCTCTGACCCTGGCAGGAAAAGCAGTGATGAGGTCGGGGTTCTCTGGAAGGCTGCTCTGGGAATGACCAGCTGGTGAATCTCATCCCAGTAGTTGAAAGGCCTGGATAAAGGATTGCCTTGAGAGGAGCCTGGTCACCTGGGATAGTAGGTCCTGGTGAGGCCGTAAGTGAGAAGAAATCCAGTCCCCACGCAGGTACCCCTGAGCAGGGCGAGGACCAGAGGGAGAGCCACACTGCGGCTGCTGGGAGGAAAATAAGTTTCTGCCTCCTTATCAACGGGACCCAGACTTCCTGCCACTTGTGACTTGGGCATAGGACAGCCTGGTCTAGGGAGAAACTGCAGGAAGTGTCTGAGCTTAAGTTGGGGCAGAAAAGCTCCAGGCAGATGTGAGAAACACAAAAAGAATAAAACATGTCCAGAACTGAAAGAGTAAAAGGCATCTGAGATGAAGAAAGAAAAAGAGAACCCTTGCAGTAACTCCAGATGAGTGGAGGTGGGGACACTACAACATTATTAACATACCTCCCTTCTCTCAAGGTCTTTTGATAGCTACAGAATACCCCAAGGATCCCCCACTTTGAGTGATGAATGCTGATTGGCCAATGATGCATAAGATTGGCTCTGCTGTTCCCATCCAGTTCTTGGAGATGCCCATGTGTCCTGTTTTTGCCTCAGATTTAATACCCAGAAGGAATGAGGACCCCACATCTGACGATGGAGACACCCCTGGAGGGACCCAGACAGCCTTGACCAGCATTATTGACCTAGAATGTCACAGTCCTTACCCAGGCCACTCCGGCCTCTATACTGGAGCCTGATGAAGGTTCTGCCCCTTCCCCATAGGGATGCTCTGTTCTCCTAGACACCAGTCCCTGGGAAGAGCCAGCCTGGATTCTGGGGCTGTCCATGGTGCTGAAATAGAATTCTGAATTGAGCTCAGATATCTCCCAGCTCTACAGAAGGTCCTGACCTCAGGGATTCTCCTTACCTCAGTTATCTCCCAGGTCTTCCAAAGGGCCTGACCTCAAAGGCTTAAGGTCTCATCCCTAGCCCAAAAGGGCCCTGCTTGAGAGTGATGGCTAGAGTAAGGGGAGGAGTGGGTAGTCAGGAGTGGGTTGTGCCCACTCTCCTGACTCCTCCCAGCCCTCCTGCTCATCATCTTCTAAGGTCTCTCCACAGGACAATGTCTGCCAACTGGGCTGAGCCACAGGAAGGGGGTTGTGCTTGGCAAGACCCTCTACTTTCTGGTCTATATACTGGTCCTTTAACCATCTCGCTTCATCCCAGCCTCACTAACAAAACAAAACAAAACCTTCTGAAAGAAGGCTAGTCTTCACACTTGGTAAAGGAAAAAGCTGAGGGTCGGGAATATTAGACACTGACTGGATGCCTTTCTCCAGCTCTACCCATGGCCTGAGCTTCAATGTGCAGCAGAGGAGTGTCTCAAGCTGACAGGGAAGGAGAGCACTTTGTAGCCATTGACTTCTGATGATGCTGGGCTCAGCCATGTGGTCACGGGGGGGCTCCCCTTCCATCCAGGAATGGGATGAGCCTAGTAGCCTGCCCAGGTGCCTCTGCTGCTAGTCAGGGGTTGGGAAAGGCTGGTGGAGTGCTCTTCCTCTATTGGATGAAAAGGGGAGGTGATGAGGGGAGATGATGAGGGGAGGGTGTGAGATGCTCTCCCACTGCATTGCTCCTCTACCTTAGAGTCCCAGACATGCTCGCCTTCTTACTGCTCTTCAGAGTTCTCCTTGGTCATCTCTTGGGCCATTTACAGGCTTGTAGTTGAGATCGGGGAAGGGGTAGTGAGGTGTGGTAGCTTGGTGCCATCTTGCCTGGACTGGAAGCCTAACTGTCATTGTCAGTGTTTGTAGCAGATAGGCTGATCCGTATCACATGGCCTGTCATCATTAGAAACAGGCGTCTGACTCAGCTGCTCCTTCCGGGGATGCGGGAGAGGGTTTAAGGCATTGGGGGGTTGTCATACATCATAGCTTTCTGTTTGTTTATCTAAATGCTAAACATTTATCTAAAGGATGCTATTTATCTAAATGATGAACTTAAGGCATGATGCTTCACCTCATCATAGGATGCTGCTGTATGAACAGGTTTTTACTACTTAAAAAAATTTTTTAATGACCAGAGGGCATATGAACTTGCCAGATAGAGACAAAGGGAGAGAGGAAGAGAGAGAAAACACTCACTCCCATGCACAATGGGGCCTGGCCATGCCACAATCCCTTCTTTATTGATCCATCTTGTCAGGTTTTGGGGCATGTTTTCAAGCCATCAGGTCTGGGACTTGAACCATGCAGTTGGCCATGTGAGATCAGGTCCTCTTACCCTCTGGGTCATGGGTCAGCCCATTTTTATTGCTTTAGTTAGACTTTTCAGGAGGGAGGTTGCGAGCTCCTGCTTCCCCTCACCCTCTCTCTAGTCATCTCGAGATTTGGTGAGTTAGGATTGGGGATGCAGAAGTAGATGGGATGATATTAAGTCACCCGGAGGTCAGCAGACTATTGCCTTTGGGCTACCTGTTTTTGTAAGTAAATTCTGTGGAACACGGCCACATTAATTCTTTTGCAGAGTGTCTGTGGCTGCTTTGTGCTGCAGTGGCAGAGTGAAATCGTTGCAACGGACACCCTATGGCTTGCAAAACCTGAAATATTTACTATCTGGCCTATAGGGGGTGGTGGTGGGAAGCCATCCTTCTAACCAGGGAATGTCATAGTTGGGGAATTAGGGAAGTATTTTGACTGTGATCCGCTCTGAGTTTTAGAACATCCTGTAGATACTAGTATGCGTTTTTACCCATAGCAGGACATAAAGGATTTGGAAAACCCGAGTAGGAGACAGTTGGGACAGAAAGGGGAGATTCAGGAGTGGAGAGAGATGATGGACGGCAAGCCCGGGAAGCCACACATAGCAGGGTTTTGAGCAGTGGGGAGACTGGCAGGTGGCTGACACTGTTTCTGGGACTGGACACCCTGAGCCTCTGACCAAATGTCACCAAAGTCTTCCTGTTTATGGGAAAGGAAACCAGACTTTCAGTATGCACCCAACTCAGTTACACACCGGGACTTGTGCCGGGCCTTCCATAGGTACCTTTATTTAATCCTCTCCGTAGCCCTAAGATGTGGTACTTCTTACACCCATTAAAGAGCAGAAAACCAAGACGTGGAGGGGAACGTGGCTCACTCGATGTCGTTCTCTCAGTAAACAAAAGAGCAAATTCGACCCCAGGTCTCTCTGGTTGTGAAGTCTAAGATGATTTCAATGTGGCAGGAAACACGTGGGGTGCTTGACAGAGCCATTGTCCATGGAATGGGGACATTTCATCTCCAAGCATGGGCCTCTGAGCCCAGCTGCTGGAAAGAGGGCTCTGGGTGTAACCAGTGCTCCTGTCGGTTGCTCACTGGGTCCTGATCTCCGAGTATTCGGTGCTGGTGCCCTCCTGGGGCGTCATCCCATGAAAACTGAGGGAGGCATAATGGAGCTCCTGCTCCATGTCCAAGGTGGGGGAGGCCTCTGAAGAGCTTGGGGGTTCAGAGAGACCATGTAATTTGTACTCTTGCTGATGTCCCTGCATGGAGAGAAAAGAAGGGGGTCAGAGCAGAGCAGTGGGTGTGGAGAGTGGGAGATGGCAGCGAGGGTCCATGAAGTGCTCTGGATTCTGACAGGACATTGGTTCACTTTTCCTGTCATCAGCTGTTTCCTGAGGCGCCACTTACTCAGTTACCCAACAGCTGCCACACTGCCTGGTGGACTTTCGATTCTAGTGACCACTCATACAAACTTATTGGGAAATACTATTCTTTTACTCTTTCTACAGACAGGAAAGCTAAGTCTTAGAGAAGTTAATTACTTCCTAGAGTCACACTTCTCTCTTGTTCTCTCTTTTTATTTCCCTATAGATTACAGGAGCTCACCAGAGAGGAACAGAGAGGAAGGGGAAGTGAGAACTCAGCCCCCAGGGCTAATGGCCATGCCACGGTCCCTTCTCCTCTTGGAGTTGGGGACATGCATACACACGTGTCTGATGTGATTTTTAAGCCACCAGGTTCAGGACTTGAACTGCGGAGTCGACCAGGTGGAAACCCAGTGCCTTAACCACTCTGCCACCTGCTGGCCCTTCACACTTTTGATCCTGAACTCAACCCCAGAACTGAGTCCTCCTTTGTGCCAGGGGCTGGATACCCAGGAAGGGAGCAAAGTGGAGGTGGGCCGTGACCTCCAGTATGGGAGGGATATGTCTGGCGAGCGCACGTGCCCTAAAGCGAAAGCCTCTCCAAAGAAAGAGAGAAGTTAGCTACTTCCTAGAGTCACCCTTCTCTCTCGCTCTCTCTTCCCCCACCCGTAGATTATACGACCTCACTAGAAAGAAATAGAGAGGGAGGGGAAGTGAGAACTCAGCCCCCAGGGCTAATGGCCATGCCACGATCCCGTTTCCTCTTGGAGTTTGGGACATGGATACACACGTGTCTGGTGTGATTTTTAAGCCACCAGGTTCAGGACTTGAACTGCGGAGTCGACCAGGTGGAAACCCAGTGCCTTAACCACTCTGCCACCTGCTGGCCCTTCACACTTTTGATCCTGAACTCAACCCCAGAACTGAGTCCTTCTTTGTGCCAGGGGCTGGATACACAGGAAGGGAGCAAAGCGGAGGTGGGCCGTGACCTCCAGTGTGGGAGGGATGAGAGACTAGGGGAAGGAGCAGTAGGTTAATTTCTCCAGCAATGACATGATGAACATTCAGGGGCTCTCTTGGGAAGAGGGAGGTTTTATAGCCACGTTTCAAGACAAGTGACCCTGTTAATGCAGGATTTTAAAATGCGTGTTGGATCTAAAGATCTCTCCTGTTTCTTCCCAGTTGCACGGACCCAAGATGCCTACCCTCGCTGATCCCTCTGTCATATTTCCCCTGTAGCTGTCCAGGGTTCCTCCATCACCTCCTTTAAGTCACCCAAATGCAGTGTCTCACAGAGGACTTCCTCTTTCCTTCCTTGAGTCCAACCTGTTAACCTCTCCCCCGACAATGCTTCCTAGCCCCGAGTGTATTTTTCTTCCTCGTCACTTCTTACTCTCTAATATATTGGGTTGTCAGGAAAGTCGTGACACATATTTGCATAGAAAAATCCGTCAGGACTTTTCCGATGACCCGATATTTTATTTTATTTGTTTATTATTATTTGATTTTCTATATGGTATATGTACTCACCAGAGAGAAAGAGAGGGGTGGGGCGAGAGAGAAAGCAAGTCACCAGATCCAGGATTCGAACCGCAGTCAGTCTTGTGGGAGTGCAACGCCTTAATCACCATGCCCCGTGCCGGCCCCACCACTCTCTCCCCTTATTCTGTGCTGAGCCCTGGCCCATCTGGACATCTTCTCCCACCAGGCTCCCAGCTCTGCGTTCGTCGAGATCGGCGGTCGAGATCGGCGGTGATGCCACTGAGTCACCCTCACGTGGTGGTTCCACGGGCTCTCCCAGACTTGCCAGCACCTGAGACGGATGGCCTTCCCTCCCCCTTGAAGCGCCGTCTCCCTCAGCCAGCGGGAGCCGGCCTGCACTCCGGCCGTCCTTCCCCTTCCCAGTGTTCCTGTGCTTTCTCCGCATCTCCCTGACCCAAGTGTAGGAGAGTCCGGGCTGTGCCTTACCCTGAGGCCGACTGGAGAAGCCTCACATGTGAAACCAGGGCCGGCGACAAGGACGGCCTTCTAGGCAGGCAGTGCAGGTGGCTGCCCGGGAGAGACTGTGGCGGGGACTCATGCAGGAAGGGGTCAGAGGGGCTCGGCTCAGAGGGAGGGCTGTGTGCAGCGTGTTCAGGGGAAGCACGGCCACGCTCCGTTCATGTGCGGCAGAGGAATGCGCTGAGAGGCTGGGGGGCCATAGGGCCAGTCTCTGCTGGGGAGTGGGGACAGGAGTGCCCTCGGCGAGGAGGAGAGGCCAGCAGGAGCGAGGTCGGGAGTGCGCTAAACGTGTTCTGATGGGTGGATCCAGGGCTCTCCTCCACCCTGGCCAGTCTGCCCGCCCAGAGGCTACACGGTTCCGGCGCTGGAACGGCCTGGTCTTCACGTGCACGCGGTCCTTCGTACGCAGCCGGACACAGCGAAGGCCACAGCCCAGCCACTTCTTTCACGGCACCTTCCAGTCCAGGCCACTGTCCTCCTGCCCTAAACCTCGGGGCCAGGCACCTGGAGCGAGCCCTGCTGACCGCGCCTGCCGATCCGGGTCCCCGGTCCCACACCTGCTTAGCCTGCTTGCTGTCTCCCCAGTCCCTCCTGAGGGCCACCAGAAAGGCCCGCGCCCACCTTTCCCCACTCCCTCTGCCTCCTGACTGAGCCCGTGCTTCCCCGGGTGTCCCTGCATGGTGCCACGTGCCCCCTCTGGGACTGCGAGTGAACTGTCTTGCCCATGGCACCTGCCCCCTGATCTGGCCTGGCCACACCCGAGTAATAGCACGACCTGCATTACAAACCCAGAGGGAAGTGACAAGCTTAGTTCTGGACTTGCCGAATGGAGTATGGCTGTGGGCAGCCTCGGGGAGGTGCCCGGAGGGCAGCCTGGGTTCCAGGGTCCTGCCCAGGTCACTCACCAGGCAGGCTGGCCCATCAGCAGGGTGGCTGTCACTCACGCCCACCGCTCTGCCGGCTGCTTTCTTCCTGTGGGTCTTCACTCTGACGGGAGACACAGGGCCTTTGAGCCTGGTGTGTCCAACCGTGGGGGTCACAGTCATGACCCTGCATGAGTGACTGGCAGGTGGAGGGTGGGACTAGCCCAGGAGACTGCCTGACGAGACTCTGTAACAAGGTCCTCTGTGCCCTGTTTCCCAGACGTTTGAGTTCTCGGCCTGGGGACAGACCCGTGCCGGGCCCAGCAGCTACAGGCCTGTTCTCCACACCACCGCACCTGCCCTCGCTCCAGGTCCTCATGACACCCGCCGCCACCTCCGCCCTCCCAAGACCAGTCCCTCTTCTCCACCTCTGGCCGTCACCTGACCCGGAGCCAATACTCACATGAAGAAGATGAGACAGAGGCCGACGGCAAGCAGGGCCGTGACCCCGGCTCCCCCGACGGCCCCCAGAGCCACTCCTGTTCCTCTGCTTGTCCCTTGGTCCCCTGCAGACAGGAGAGGCCAGGATGAACGCTCACCCTGATAAACAGACCTGGTCCTCTCCAGCATGTAGCATGTAGAGGGGGCCGCCCCTCACGTCTGAAATGGGGCTCAGCCCTAGGTCCTCCGATCCTCATCCAGAACTGAGGGACGAGGGACACCGTCCACCTGGCACCTCTGCAGCCCTTCCGACTGCTTCCCAGCAAACTCCATGTCAGAAGGACCTGGGCTCCTCCCCTTCCTAGACCCAGGCTTGGCTCAGTGGGACTCCAGGGAGAGACAGAGACTGAGACAGAGCAGCAGGGGACACTGACTGACCCATTCCTCTTCCCTCCAGGGAGGGTTTCTGAGTCTCCCGTCATGGCCCCCACTGGCCCCATCACTCAGGGCCAAAGGTGGTCCTTTTCATTCAGGCTGAGGCAGGGAGGCGGTTCGTGGCTGTTCAGGACAGACCCTCACGCTCTCCTGTCACAGCCCGGCCATGCCTTCCAGGATCCCAGCACCCACAGCTGGCATGTGTCCCTGGGCCTGACCTGTCAACAGTTTGTTGATCGTCATTGTGAGAGCCATCCCTGTCCACCGAGGTGACCCGATACCATTACCATGGAGGCAGAGCAGAGGAACGAGCACTGAAGTATGGGCAGGGTCAGGGCTACAGGCTGAGAGAGTGACAGTAAGAAAATGCCCCAAAGTGGAGCCAGCAGTTGACATGGTAGTTAAGATACTGGACTCCCACATGGCTGACCATGGTTTGAGTCCTGGACCTGGTGGCTTTCTTTCTCACTCCCTCTTTCTCTCTGGTGAGTGTAAGTGCTCTATAGTGAATTCAATTAATAATAATAAATAAATTTAAATAAATGTTATAATTCTTAAAATTAAACAAAGATGCCCCAAAGAGATGTTTGAGACAGTGCCACTATTCTATATGGCACCGTTAGGGTGGGCGTCGGCCATGACACTTTTCGCCAAGCCCGGTGGAGTGCACAGTGGAAGCGTGACTCACCCTCATGTACCCTGTGGACCTGAGCCCATGGTCTGTTAGTGGAGGCTCACCGGTGGGCGCCAGCACGCCCCCTGGTGTTGGAAACGGAGGCAGGGAGGTGAGAACTCTGTTCACTGGATTTTGCTGTGAACCAGAAGCTTCTCTAAGCGGCCTGGGCGGAATAGTGCTGAGCCCAGCCGCCTTCCCAGCACTGCTCCCCAAAGGAAAGGCGATATGAAATGTCCCCCGGGTGCCTGGAAGCTGGATGGAGGTGAGGAGTGTTATTTGGGAAGGGCAGGGAGGGAATTCTGAGCCACCTATAGACGTCGCCACCCAAATATCGGAGGTTGTGTGATAGGGGCTGCCTGTGAGTGACCACAGGGCTGTCCTGTAACCACCGGAACTCAACACCCAGGTGACCCCGAGTGCAGGAACACCTCACGGAGGGGGTTCACCTCTGCCTGTGCCGTCTACTTGGGGGTCCTCGATGGTTGGTTCTGAGGGGCAGCTAAGACAGGAAGAGGGGAGTCCCTCTTCAGTGGGAGCTGAGGATGCGTAGTAGATTTGCCCGCCCCTGGGTGGGACGCACAGCAGTACAACAGATATAGCTGTTTTCTTCCAGGGTGTCTACTCAGCCACCAAGCGTCCCCAGACCATGTTTTCCTGTCCCCCTGCACCTGTAGGGACCCAGATATCTGGGCTGGCACTGGCAGGGTTCACAGAGCTACACAGCTGCGTCCGTGTAACACCAGCTCCTGGGAGCTTCACCTGGCAAGTGCCTTTGGTGCCCAGATCCTGGGGCACTGGGGTGAGGGTGAGCCCTGAGGACTGGGCGATCCTGGGGCCCAGGGAGGTGGAGGCTCTGGTCCGGCCTAGCCTCAGCCAGACAGGTTTTACCCCAACCCCTCCCAGGATGGGCTCCAGCCCAGCCCAGCCCTGGCCCTGGTGGCCACCCCTGGGGCCCATGCCTCACCCGTCACGTGCAGAAAGAACTTATTACTGAAAGTCGTCTTCTTACATCTGCTCTCCACACGAAAAACGTACGAACCACTGTCCGACCTCCGCGCGTCTCTGATGCTCAGGGAGCAGTTGAGGGTTGTGGGGTCCCCAAGAACCTGGAATCGGCCCTGGGTGTCCTTTTGCACTGCTCGATTCTGGTCGTTGGTGGCCACTGGGGTGTCCCGATTTATATCAGCCCCGGCCCGAAACCAGTAGCCATAAGCAGGGAGTAGGTTTGAAGAGATGCCCCAGGAGGAGGAGAAGGAGCAGGGCACAGTGACGCACAGGCCCTCCTGCACTGTCACCGACTCAGGCACGTCCAGCCAGAATCTGTCATCCTGAGCCAGGGACCCTGTGGGGAAAGGAGGGTCAGCCCGGCCCTGCCCCCACCCGGGCTCTGCCCCCCCCCCTGCCCAAAGCGGGGTCAGCGGCAGCAGCGGAGGCCGCATCTCGGAGCTGAGGTCCCTGGGCTTCCTGTGTGAGCAGAGGGGAAGGCGACGGCAGGGGCAGGGCTGGGACCCACGGAAGCCGGGGAGGAGCTCCAGGCCTTGGCCTTAGACAAGAGGAAACTCAGAACCCAGGCATCTAACCTCGTTCCCGTTTGCACAGAGATGGCCCAACCCCATTGCCAGAGACACCAGAGACTCGCCCAGTGAGGAGAGGGAAGCCCCAAGACCACCCTGCCCCATCCCAGGCGCTCTCTGACCTGGAGCCTGGACCAGGACCAGAACCTCTGGGGAATACAGGGCAGGAATGTGCATGAGGGTCTAAGGTCCTCCCTCTCTGAGCTGCTGCTCTGTGCACCACTGTGTCCACCAGGGAGCTGGGCCCTCCTGGCCATGCCCTGGAGAGTCAGGGCTTCGTCTAGACCCATTGGGTGGTGGGTCCTGCAGGACATGGGATTCTGCAGGGTCTGAGTGAGTGTCTGGGACTCACAGGGGGAGGGTGTCTGGGCTGAGGTGGAGGCAGCAGCCGTCCATCCAGGGGTGCAGCAAGCCCAGGGAGCATCCATGTGCGGTGGGACCGGAGACGAGAGGGGCCACTGACCGTCTTTAACCTTGAGGTGCTGCCACCCACAGCCCGCATCTCTCCAATCGCGCACAGTCGGCTTCAGACCCGTGGTCACCGGGGACTTCGCCTGTGTCTAGGACCCTGGGCCTTTAAGCACTGGGGTGGGAACTTTCCGTCCTGGGCCCTAGCACACTGACGTGCATGCATTCCATGACGTGTCCCAGGAGAGCCACGTGACATCTTCATGTGAAGGGAGAGACCGTGGACCCCAGGAGCGGGTAGGAGCCTCCTCCCCATTCACACGTTATTCTGTGTGGGGCCGCGTACCCCCTGTTAAGGTCCCGCCCAGACAGACGAGCAGTTCGCACAGAAACACCTGCTTTTCGCCTGTCACTGAGGCGCCCAGACAGAGAGCAGTTCCGCAGAGAAACACCTGCTTTTCGCCTGTCACTGAGGATGGGCCATTTCCAAAGAACCCGAGTGCAAATTCGTGGGAAGCTGTGTGTTCGGCTCCCCGGATCTCCAGCTCAGCGCTGCCTCTAGGTCTGGCCCCATTCTCCTGGCGTCACGCCTTCAGGCTCTTTCACGTGCTCGGGCCTCACAGAACAGCGTCCCTTTCCGTCGTCATGGGAGGGACGCCAGGTTTCCGGTTCCCCTGTTTGCGCACCAACCGGCTCAGGCGCAGGGACATGGTTTCCGCGTTTTGGCGACAGAGGAGCAGAGCTGCTGTGAGCCTCGGCCCGCCGGCTTCTGTGTCAGCACGGTCGTCGTTTCGTTTGGGGAGTGTTCAGGAGCCGGCACTCGGTCACCATGGGAGGCGTGAGTTCCAATTTCTGCGACGTTGTCAGAGTGTTCTCCAAGGTGGCTGCAGCGTGGTGTGCCCCACGGCAGCGCACGTGAGCTCTGGCCGCTAAATCCTGGCCAGCACGCGCACGTACCAGGAGTTGTAAAAATTTCACTGTGGCCTTAATCTGTATCTTCTTTTACCTTTTTGCTTCCTTTTTTTTTAGCCCCTTCCACAGTAGAAAAGTTCTTGCTGTTATGATCCTCCAGCTTCAGCCTCCCAGCTGGAAAGAGAGGTGACATCACCACTGCCATTTTCTTTTTGTTGGACAGAGTCCTCCTTGGCTGTCCAGGCCAGCCTCCGGGGCTCCTGGCATAACCTGCGCTCACCGCTGCGCTGGGACTTTTGACGGGATCCAAGCTGGCCTCCAGGTGGCCAGCCTGCCGAGCCGGTGTCAGCCGCACACAGCAGCGTGCCTGGGCCGAGTCTGTAATATCGTAACGGGAGTGAGGGGGAACATGCTTTCCTGTGGTCCCTGCCATAGTCTTTAGTTTTTCTTTTTGGAAAAGTGGCTCTCCAAGTGTTTGGCTTCTTTTTGTTGTTGTTTTGGCTAAATATGCAATAAAACATGTGCCATTCGGAGCCAGCAGGAAACGTGATGACTAAGGCGTTGACTCCCACATGGCCAACCACAGATCGGAAACCGGGGAAAATGGGGCAGAGCTTTATGCATGCATGTTCTTAGCGCATTATTAAGATAGCATGAACAGAACGGCCACATTGCTTTCTGTAGCATGGTTCAAGTTCTGGCCCAGTGGCTGGGAAATCATGCCAGGAAGGCGTGTTTGCTTACCCAAGATTCTGAGATAGCGGACAAAAAGGGGTTGCAGGAGGAACCAACCACCACCCCCAGAGTGTAGCAACTGTCTGATTGCAGCCTCTCACCGGAGATGGAACGTCTGCACGTCCTCATCAACACTTGTCATTTCTTTTCTCTTTTTGTGATAACGGCTTTCATAATAGGTGTGAAGTGGTATCTCATTGTGGTTGGCCAGCTTTATTTTTCTTTTAGGTAATATATATTTCAGGTATACAACATGCTGTGCTCATATTACGGCCTTAATTTGCGTTTTCCTAATGATTGATTAGTGGTGCTGAGCATCGTTCCATGTGCTTATTGGCTATTCATGTATTTAAAGAGAAGTCATTCATGCATTTTGCCCAGTTTTAAATTGCTTGTTAGTTTGTTGTGACTGCTTTTTTTCTTTTTAAATAAAACCAGGCAGTTACTGTTTTCTTTTGAGAGTTGGCAATTGTTTTTTTTGAAAATTTTCATTTAACTTTATTTATTATTATTATTATCCAATTTGATCAGAGAGAGACAGAGAGAGGGGGAAAGTGAGAAAGCAAGCCACTAGGTCCAGGACTCGAACTGCATTGGCCATGTGGGAATCCAGCACCTTTAACCACCACGCCACCTGCTGGCCCTCAAGAGTCTGGCATGGTTCTGAATATGTCTTCATCAGCTGTAAATACTCAGGTATGTTTCCAGTCTATTCGGTCACCTTTTGTTCTCTTTTCTCTGTTTTACACACCCGCTCTGCATTTTCTTCTCTTTCTTCGTTTTCACCCATCGTTTAACTGCTTTATTTTCTATATTATAACGGCTTGAACTCATTGGATGGCATAAAATGTGTGAACAAGCATGGAATCACACATTTGCAGTTCGCCTCACTGGCAGGGAGTATTTTTTTTTCATTAATTAATTTTTCCACAAACATTTACTTTACATATCAAAAAAATTTAGCTCATACTCCATAGTTCTTGACAGTTAATAGCTTTAAACATTTCAAAGTACTGAATTTTAAAGGTAATGTTCAAAATATTTCTAATACTTTTGTTTGTGGCTCTATAACAACAGAGACAGTATGGTTTTAAATATTTTCAAGAAAATATTTACAGGTCAACTACTGAAATTATTGAAAAGCAAATGCCCAGCACACAAGTCATACATAAACCTTCTCAGTTCAGCCCTGTCTACCAAGTATTCTGTGATAAACCATCTGCTAGCAAAGATCAGTCTCTTTTTCTTCCTTCAAAGTCTTTCTCAAGATAATCCTCTGGTGTGGTTGCTCTTTTGCAATCTCTACTGATTACAATGCTGGGCTGAAAAGTCCAGGTTATTTTGTTACAAATTCTTTCATATTTCTTCTCTAATCCTCTCTGCCAGGCAGAACTATTTATGGTGCCAGGCCATCTTTCTAAGAGCTTCTGTTGACTTTCTTGAGTTCTACCTTAGTTCCGCAGTTTTCTGATTAATCTTCAGATGTGACACTTCAGTCAAAGGTCTGTCCACTAATAATTATTTCCAAGTTTTGATTCAATGCAGCAAGCATTATTGAACTTATGCAAATAACCCTTCTGCCACAAAATAAGAATATTCCCAAATCTTTCCCAAATCCAGAGGGTTCAGGAAGGAAGAAACGTTTGTTTCCATTTAAAGAAACAAACAAGAAAAATATTTTAACAAATGCTGAACCTATCAACAACTCAAAAGAAAGTAAAATGCTTAAATTGGGAAAACAAAGCGTAGTAAAAAAAATCAGTAATGTTTCACTCAAAAGTCATAGAATTCTATTTCGCTATTTCAGTCTTATGTTCGAATTCTCTTCTGCTAAGTATGCAGTGTTACTGTGGTCCAATCTTTCCATTTAAATCCTACACGTTAACATTCAATGTTATTATTGACATTTCTTGTCCCTAGAATTAAATTAGTCATTTTCTTGGTTGCCTTTTGTTCTCTTATTTCTGTTTGTGTCTTTAGTTTTCCTGGTAGAGCACTCCTTCCAGAACTTCTTGAAGAGTGAATCTGCTACTGGCAAATTCATTCAGGTCTTGTTTATCTGAGAATGTTTTTATCCTTTCTTTCCATATGAAGGATAATCTTGCTGGGTATAGTATTCTTGGTTGAAACTGTTTTTCACTTATCACTTTGAACACATTTTCCCATTCTTTCCTTGCTTGCATTGCTTCTGATGAGAGGTCTGAGGTTAGCCTGATTGGATAACCTTTGTAAGTAACCTGACGTTTCTCTCTTGCCAGTTTTAGTATCTTGTCTTTGTAGATTTTGCCGGTCTGACTATGATGTGCCTTGGACCTGCTCTACATTCTCAAAACATGTGTTGTCCATGAGGTGACCCACGAGTGCTTCAGGGGATACGAGGCAAAGCGATGATGATATGTTAGGGGTAAGGTCTACCTTGGATGGGGACATTGCAGGCTTCCAAATACCACATGGCAACACACTGGGCTAATTAATGGCACCCCAGCCACTCTGGTCTTACTTTCTAGAATGTGTAAATGTTATCTTCTGAATAAAAAGTCTTTGAGGGTGTGCTGATATGCGATCTCTACCAGTAGACATCTCTACCATATACATCTGAGCCTTAGATCCGGGTATATATGTCCTTCTGAGAGAGAAGGAGGAGGTAATTCGACACACAGGAAAGAGATGAAGTCATGTGAATACAAGGCAAAGACTGGGATGCTACAGGCAAGAGTTAGTCTCTGCAGGAAGTCTCTGGGGGGAGTATGCCCAGCAGACCACTGGATTTTGGCCCAGAAAAGTTCATTTCAGATTTCTGGTCTCCAGGAATATGAGAGAATAAATACTTTGGTT